GAGTCTCATAGACTTTCCTGCCCAGGCTAGCTTTAAACCACAATCCTCAGATCTCAGCCTCCTGGGTAGCCAGGATTACAGGGGTGAGCCACCAGTGCCTGGCCTTCCTTGAGGTCTTGGTTTAAATGCTGCCGCTTACAGGAAGACTTCCAGGCTTTCAGGAAAGCCAGCAGCCTGCTCTGTACTTTCCAGATGAGGTTTCCATGATGCTTAGAACATAGTTCTGAGCAGCCCTTATCTTACCCTTGTATTCAGTGCCACCTGCATACATGGCAGTCTTTCCACTAGAGTGGGGTTGTGGGTGGCAAGGACTGTATGCTTTCAGGTGACAGCCATTTCTGGCTCAAAAGGGTGACAGATGAATCCCACTGTCTGAACTAGAAATATTTAAAACTTCAAAAGACCAAGAGATGGAGCCTGATGATGCTGCTTACAAAGCAGACTCTCATTTACTCAGGCTCATAGACTTGCTCTAACCATGTGCTGTTTTGATCTTTTAAATGGATTTTGAAGGTGACCTTGTAGGCCTACAGAACAGAAAGGAAATATACAATTGTTAGGGAAAGAGGAGGATAATTTCACTTCTTTTTTTTTTCTTTAATGCTATGTATAATGATTTTATACAGTTGTGGTTTTTAATTTTTTTAAAGGGGGGCATTTTTATTCTTGAAGCTGTTTCCAAGAGATTCCACTCTCTCTGTGTGTATGTAACACTTGTCCAGAGGCAAGTTCCACTTGGTCCATAGAAACAGGCTTGCTGGGTCATGATGGACGGCTTCATGGGAGCTAGGAGCCGGTGGCAGGCCCCTTCCCCCAGCAGGACCTTCCCCTCTGTCCTGAGGCCTCCTGGGAGTTCAGGGGAATAGCCAAAGATGGTGGTAGAGCCTCTCCCTCAGGCCCAGTGCTGATTTAGTGTCAGCCTCCAAGCTGGAGTGAGTCAGAACAGCCAGGAGGGGGCAGGTACAGGTAAGGCTGCAGGAAGAAGGCAGAGCTGACCGCACCCCTGCCCTGGCCCCTCCAGATGGTCTGGGAGCATGCCATCTTCTCTGACCCATATCCCCGACCTCCAGGTTCGGCCAGGTCCCTAGTGCAGCGCCCCCCCCCGGCATTTCACCCCATGAATCTGTTGGGGAGGTGGGGGAAGGGCCTGGGAACTTATCTTTTTCTCCCCTGCAGCCACTGGGCCTTGAGACACCCCCAGGAGTCTGAGACCTCATGCACAGTCAAGGGGTGCAGGTCAAGGGGTTCAGGAATGGATGGGTGGCTTGTCTCTGGTGACCCCAAAGGTCAGTGGCAAGGCTGGTACTCAGACCAGGCCTCTTAGAACCCAGTAGACGCTGAGTTGCCAGCACCTGAACCCCCAGACTCCAGCCCCAGGCCTGGAAAGGCTAAGGCAGAAATTCTTCCTTGACAGACATGGGGGACGAGGCTCCCAGGAGGCCAGCGTTGTTGGGGCACAGGCTTCCTAGAGGTGCTCCAGCAGGCGCAGGGGTGCTAGCCAGTACTGGGGGCAGCTGCTGGGGTGGAGGCGGTGGCTGCTGCTGCTTCTTCTTGTTCACTTTGCGCTCCTTGGCCCGCCGATTCTGGAACCAGATCTTCACCTGTGGCATCACAGAGCAGACATGGGGGGTGGGGGGTGAGGGGCCAGGCCACAGGTGGCATCACAGAGCAGACATGGGGCAGGTGCCACCACAGGTAGCGTTGGTGACTTCCTCCCTGCTCCAGCCATGAGACCTCAGGGATCTCAAGCACTCTGTCCTGGTTTAGAGCTTTCTCTTCTTCCCCAGATACCCTGCTCCTAGCCTCCCTCCAACCTCCTCCAAGGCTTCAAGGGAGCCTGCCTGGGCTCTCCACCCTGGACCTGGGCCCTGGGCCCCACTCCTGCCCTGCCTGTCAGTTACCCCCAGCTCTGACCATGGCCAATGTAGCCTATGGTGAGCCAGACTCCTGCTCCTGTGCAGGGCAGGAAAGCTAGGTTTCGCCAAGCTGCCTGGCAGTCACTGGGGTCTTCTGTGCTGTGCCCATGGGCGGGAGACTCCTGCTCTCCATCCTCCCTCTCAGAGCTCTGAAATCTGCAGAGCAGCCCAGAAACCAGACACCAGGGCTGAGGTGGGAGCCACACACACCTGCCGCTCAGTGAGCCCCAGATTGGCGGCCAGCTCCGACTTCCTCCGGATGGTGATGTAGCGGCTGTAATGAAACTCCTTCTCCAGTTCCAGGCGCTGGTGGTCCGTGTAGACCACGCGGTATTTGTCCTTGGTCCGAGTCTTACCTGGGAAGCAGAAAGGAGGGAGGGGGGAGTGTGTGAGGAGGAGGGTCCTTGATGGCATGGGACGGGGGAGGGGGAGGGTTACCCCAGTCTTCTGGCTGAGCCCTGCAGCTAGCTGTAAGCCAGCAGGAGTTGGGGACAAAGCAGGACACATGCCGGTGGGATCTGTATGTGTGAGATCCCCAGGTGGATATGGATGGCTTTGGGGTCCCCAGATCATAAGTATGGACCCCAGAGCCACGAAGAGTACACCCGGCAGGCTGGAACAGACTGGGATCGAAGGGGTCCACTACTGTTCCCTCCTGTGCTAGAGGAGAGAGGCAGACGAATTCTGCAGCTGTCCTGGGCTGGCACCCCTAGTTTGGCCAAATGCTAGCCCCAATGTCAGACAGGAAGTCCTGAGGCTGCTGGTGGACCCTCAAGCCTGCAGGGTGCTTCAGAAGACACCACATCTGGCACTAGGGCTGCACTGGTAACTGGGGCTGCTCTGCCCAACCCTCCACCCAAAGCAGAAAAATCTCTGCTCTCCTGAAGCGTGGGCTCCAGGGGAGGATTGCCTGAGCCTAGAAGTTGGAGACCAGCCTGGCAACACAATGAGAGCTCATCTAAAAACAAACAAAAGCAAAGTGTAAACAAAGTAGCCCTTGAGAGTCCCACTGAGAAGAGAAATTGGAGCTAGGAATTGAAGGAGGTGAGGAAGGAGGCACTCGAGTATCTTGAAGGGAAGGATTCTGGCTAAGGCAACAGCAAGTGCCCAGGCCCTGAGGTAGTAACATGTCTGCCATCTGACTGAGAAACAATGAGGAAGCTGACAGGGAGGTGGGGATGGTAAGCAAGGAATATGGGAACAGGAGACAAGGGGAGAAATTCTGGGTTTACTCTGTCCTAGATGGAAGCCATTACAAGGTTCTCAGTGGAGCGGACATGCCATCCGAGGTACAGTTCCATGCTCCTTTGGCTGATGCATAGAAACAGCCTGGGAAAGGAAGAGGTGGTACAGGAGGCTTGTAATCACCCAGTAGGGAGAGGCAGTGGGCTCAGGCTCAGCCAGAGCTGACTTGAGACCTGGGCTTGAGGCCCTCTGAGGTGCAGGTCAGGGGCTGGAAGCGGAGGCCTGTCTGGGGAGGGCTGTCTGGAGACTCATGTTTGGCTTGGGCTTGTGTGGGGGCCTGGCTAAACACCAGCTTCCTTTGCAAAAAAGCTGAGCTTGTGGCTATAAACAGGAGGGGCATGCCAGCGCACATGCGTCCAGCGGCACTTGGGGAGTCTCAGAATCATCACAGAGCCTCCCCCACCTCACCTCCCTGAGCCTGGGCCCCAGCTTGGCCACCCCCCAGCATCCTGGATGAAGCCCCGCCTCCCTCCACACTGGTCGCTGTGCCTGTACCAGGCCCCCGCAGCCTGGCAGCCCATTCCCGGCTCCTTGAGAGCCAACATGGGAGGCAGCAGATGCTCCTGGGCGGCTTTCCCCTGTGCTTCCTGCCAGAGCAGCACCGCCGAGCTGGACGCTTCCCTAGGCAGTGACCGCAGTCTGCTCTCCCGCAGCACTGGGCAGCTTCGGCTCTTGGCCAGGCCTGGCCCCAGCAAAGCCAAGGGAGGGACTGACCAGGCCTTGGCTCTAGATAGGGCCCCTCCTTGGCCTAGAAAATGTCAAGCCTGGCTCAAAAACAACTCTGCCTAACAACTTCTCCTCCTGAACCTAGCATGGCTGTGACTGAACAGCCCACTGGCTCAATGGGCCACAGCTAGAAGAGGCCCAGGGAGTTCCGTTCCATCCTCTTCCATTTTACCAATGAGGAGACTGTGGTTCAGGATGGTCCCCCGAGAATCAGAGGGCCATGTCATGAACCTGGCAAGCTCCTCCAGCTCAGTCCTCTGTGGAGTCAAGGTCACTGGAGGTGCAAGCCTGCCTAAGGCCAGGTCTTCCCACAACTCCCCCCACCCCCCAGCTCTTTCTGCTCTCTCCAGTCATACCTTCTTTGGCCATATTTAAGGCCCACTGAGTCTGCGATGGATTCTCTAAGCATTAGCAACAGCCTTAGAGAGCAGACACCCCTCCACCCTACTTTTGGGATAGGTGGGGTTAGGGCAGGGTAAAGGCAAGCCCTCAGGAGCCCAGCATGGTTGGTTTGAACAGACTGCAAGCTGGAGTGTTTTGTTTTTTGTTTTCTTTTGCCAGTCATGGGGCTTGAACTCTGGGCCTGGGCGCTGTCCCTGAGCTCTTCAGCTCAAGGTGAGCACTCTACCCCTTGAGCCATAGTGCCACTTTAGGCTTTTTCTGCTGAGGAATCGAACCCAGGGCCTCATGCTATGTGAGGCAAGCGCTCTACCACTGAGCCACCTTCCCAGCCCCAAGCTGGAGTCTTTAAAAGTGCCTACAGGACTGGGTGCCAATGGATCACACCTGGAATCCTAACTACTTAAGGCTGAAGCTGGGCGCTGGTAGCTCATGCCTGTAATCCAAGTTACTGAGGAGGCTAAGAGCTAAGGCTAAGATCATGGTTCAAAGCCAGCCCTGGCAGGAAAAGTCCGAGAGACTATTATCTCCAATAAACTACCAGAAAACCAGAAGTGGTGCTGTGGTAGAGCACTCACTTTGAGCTGAAGAACTGAGGGACAGCACCCAGGCCCAGAGTTCAAGCCCCACATCTTAACCCCACCCCCCACCCCCAAAAAATAAGGCTGAAATCTGATGATCCTGGTTCAAAACCAACCCAAAGGCAGGAAAGTCCATGAGACTCTTCTCTCCAATGAACCACCAGAAAACCAGCAGTGAAGCTGTGGCTCAAAGTGGTACAGTGCTAGCCTTGAGCAAAAGAGCTCAAAGACAGCACCCACGCCCTGAGTTCAAGCCCCCCC